TCTCTCTCTCTCTCTCTCTCTCTCTCTCTCTCTCTCTCTCTCTCTCTCTCTCTCTCTCTCTCTCTCCTCGTTCCTCTTAGCTTAAATCCTAACTTAAACAGACGCGAAACGTGTACTGGACTAAAGTTCGAGCGAGTTTGATTACAAGAGAACGTGTCTCCAACTGCACTTACCTTCGGCAAATAAGCTACTGCTGAATTGTTAAAGCTCATTTTCAAAGAATCATGCGATTCGCGCACTTAGAGTTTTCGCGAGAAACTTCCGTCACGTTCTGCAAATCAAATATTTAGCGAACGTATGCGCTATTTTAATGCCGTCGCCGAGACACGTAATCGCTCGTGACAAGATCTCGAAGAGACGAGAATAATTGTTCAAAGTAACTGCGATTATATTGTAGTAGTAAATCTCGTAAGGATAATTAAATTAAGTTAACGAAACGAAGAGGGTACGTGGAATTTATCTTCCTCGCTGCCAAAGATTTAGAAAAGAAAAATATTTTTTTCGCTCGGCTTACTTTGCGGCTTTCGTCCCAGCCGCCCCAGGACCCGTCACGTCTCTCACGTCAATATGTTCCTCCATTTGGTAATAAGCAATTATTAATATTTGCATTAACCGAACAAGCTTGAGCTTGATGATCGACCCGTCAGATTGAGCTTGTTGGAGCAACAAGAGTCTGGCCCAGTCTGACTTGAGCGTACCGAAAGGCAGGGCGGAAATCGGACATTTAAATCCGGCAGTCATCATTTTCACGGTAGGCACGTCCGTGAGATTTAATTCGGACAAATGATTCTCAATCTCATGGATATCGAATCTGATCAGTTCCAAACAACGATCTGGAATGCCACTTGTGCATTCCGCTGAAATATTAAAATAAAACCTCATAAATTATATAAACATACGTAATCTCTCTCCGTTCTTTTAAATACGGAAATAAGTTCTTCGCGCGATTGTGCGTTATGTAACTTAATTAGTCATTAAATTTTCTCCACGGGGAATCGACCATGTTAACTTCTTTCGGTCCGAATTATTTTTCGCATTTAAAATAGTCTCCTATATTTATAATTTTACGTGTTTTGTGATACGAGAACCAATTGAAAGATCAAAATACACAAATACAAATGTATATTAAAAAATAATCACATGTGGAAATACACGGCAAATTATAAAAAAAAAAAAAAACGCGTCAGATTTTAAAATATTATACAAAACTGATTTTGACGCAAATTATGAATTGTTTGAAGCAACCTTAATTGGCAGATTTAATATGAGATAAAACATTTTTGTTACTTGTAGGAATTTATTGAGATTCGAAAAATATCGTTTTATTATATATAAAATCATGATCGAATACTTGAAGAACAATGCATGCAAAATCGAGTCCACCTTAATATAAGACTAGAAAAGAATTAATTGTCTTGTCGGTTAATCTTTAGGCGCTATAGTGATTTTTAGTTTTTACTTTTGCGATTCACAACACAGATTTGACAGCTTCTAAAACAAAATGGCCTCATCTCTGATGAAGTGCGATTCGCGGCGGCGATAGTCCAATGTCGTTATAAAGATCAACGAACGGCATCCTACCGGAGATCTCTTTCGACAAATAATGGAGGGGTAAAATAATGTAGCGTGCACTTACCGTTGAGAATAATCAGCGCGTAAAGGAGAAGTAAAACGTATGATAACGCTTTCCGCGACATTTTGTTTCTCAAACTGTTCACGCGGACGAGCGACGGGCGATGGGCGATGGGCGACGGTATGCGCGAGTACCGCGTACCTCGTTTCGTTAGAATCGGCACATTTTCAAGCACGAATGCTGGCTGACTCGCGGTATGAGATACGATATAGCACGTGAAATACAAGACCGCACGGTTCTCATCCGCTTCTTGTAAAACGAGAACTGCGCCCGATCCCTCCGCGCGGAATCCCCGCGATAAGCGATAACGCTTACAGGGGAGAACGCAAGAAAGTGTTTTCGATCACTAGCTGTTACACGGCATCAGGTCAGCTTATTCGACAACTTTTTTTAACGATAATGAAACGGAATCGTTGAATCACGCGCGGCTACAACACTAGCACGTTAAATGTTCTCGCATTTCTTGCTCAAAACTGATTGTAAGATGAGCATTTCTTCAAAATTGTCGATATTAAATAATTAAGCATTTTTCAACTCTATGCCCGGTTAAAACGAAATCCGGAATCCTTTATAGTGTATTAAAAATAAAGTGTAACATTTTATAGCTTTATCCGCGAAAAGTATATAAATTAAAATTAAAATTAAATTTCTAATTTTACTGTTTTAAATAAAAAAAACGTTAATCTCCCGACAGTCAGTGGCCAACCGACAATAGAAAAATTTACTTCTATTCTCTAAGAAAATCCCTTTAATATATGTCGTTCAGAGACTCGGTGTAAAACTACAAATTCAATCATATATACGTCTAAATTAAAAAGGCATTACAGATATATGATATATGTATGTAGAATGAATTACCATTCTCTAATTTCTAATAAAAAGTTATACGAATTGAAGAAAAAGAAAAAGTGAAAACGATTAAAGGAATAATAAACGAAGACACAATTACCGAGGTAGTTCCATACAGCGTGTCGTTTGTTGATTTATTTTCTGCATCTCGTTGTAGATATCGTCATCTTAATTAACATACGCTCACTTTCTTTCTCTCTCTCTCTCTCTCTCTCTCTCTCTCTCTCTCTCTCTCTCTCTCTCTCTCTCTCTCTCTCTCATACGAACTATTCCAATCGCTCGCGTTATGAAATTTCGCGATGCCACTGCTTGCAGTTGTATCTCTTCGGCCTCTTTTTGTTACAGATACACACCAGAAACCAAACTGTACAGCCCTCTCTCTCTCTCTCTCTCATTCTCTCAGTATGCGCACATATAAAAATTATGTATAGAATCTATGTCATAATTACAAAGTAACTACATATTTATAATCATCGTAGAAGCAGTATCCCTCATCTTCTTACAGACGCGAATCACATCGGACTTGAGAAAAAACAACGACTCATAAGATTACGAAGAAATTAAAAAAACATTTAACAATTTCGCACAATTTTTATATTACAATAATTAAAAGACTTGAAGAGAGACGCGATCGTCCGAATTCGCATTTACAAAACATTCCACTTTACAAATGTAAAAAAAAATCTCAAAATCGCAGCCCGTGTGTGCCATACATCTCATATATATCTTTATACATAAACTATTTATAATACACTTTCAGTGTAGATGCGTTCTCGTATCGCAAAATCAAAAAGGCAAGATCTCTGCCGCCGAAGGAACTTACTTAGCACGGATTATTAGCGCTATACAATCGTCATACCCTTATTCTGGCGTCGGGAAAGAAGAGTCACGTCACATCACATTTTCATCTTGCGAAAGAACCTTATTCTCGAGCAGACCTTCCACGCAACGATATATTACATAGTTCTAATCATCTTCTAATACGAGATTTCAATGAAATAACAAGTCATGTGTGTGTGACTTGTCCAAAACTGGGTGGAAGGCCTTTCGAAGCCAATCCGAGGTGCGGCAATGAAACACGAGTTTTACAAAATTCGGCGATTCGAAAGAAGGCGTACGCCTTCTGTACTACCGAAAAATAAAAGCTTAATTGTCCCGCCGTATTGCCTTATAATAATTATACTTTATCAATAATTCCATCCCTGTCCACGCTGCGTTTGCTTTCCTTTGGAAAGCCGTCTACATAATTCGCAAACTTTCTGTTACACAACGTATCGCATTTTTGTTAATTCGCCCTATTCTTTCCCTTTGTTTAAATCTATCGTTTTATATGCTACTCCTATGTTTGACAGAGATATACTCGCACGCTTAACTATTTGAATGTGCCTACGTTTGTATCGTGTTTGCTTGCTTGCAACCCTGAGACTACGATTCTACCGCCATGGCGAATCGGTGATTACATATGTACAAAGAAAAATGCTCGAAAAAGTATGAAACTTCATAAAATCCAGCAGTGCACACAAAAATACCTAACGCTTTCTTTTTTTTTCCCTTTTTTCACACACACACACACACACACACACACACACATTCTATTTCTCTCTTCAATTAAGCGACGCACGCGACAATATTTGCTTAAAATCTTTCTACGTCCATCGCGCCGGCGCGGCACGAGTAGAGGGCCTCGGGGGTAACTTTGCGAGGAGTTAGTAAGCACAATTGTTAGTTAATGGATTGAACTTGCGGAAACATGGTTCAGAATTTAGCGTAAAGAACGGAAGAAAAAAGAAATCGGCAGCACATTGTACGAAAGAAAAAACGCCTTATGAGAATTATCCTGATTTAATTGTCCCTCAAGTTGAAGAAATTAGAACAATGTGGAGACTTTAACGATCATATCTGTGAATTGACGGATATTCTTAACACCACCGTGGTTCTCCTTTAACACGCGCATTCAACAACAAAGGGGAAAAGAAGGAAACATTAATTCTACGGACTGATTCCAGCGACACATGTGTGGAATCTATAACGCGAATATCACAGTTAGGTAAATGAGAAAGCTTGTTAGCCTCAACAAAAACAAAGACAAAAAAATACCGGTATCGCGTTACAGAGAATATCATCGGAGGAAAAATTATCGGCCTTTTTTTTAACGAGCTCAAAATATGTGCGTACATAACACGGCGCGTACATAACACACACAAATTTTCTGTCAAGTAAAACTTGAGACATTTCTGCAATTTTTTACGGAAACTTTCGACCTACATCCACTACTCATACAGCACAGAGTGTTCCAGAGTATCGCAGCAACATTCCAGCTATATTGCTGCACGTGCTGTACAAATTGTATTTTTAGACGAGAAAAGGAAAACAGATTTTACTCACTCACAATCAGACAATATGCGTGAGTGAAAGACTTTTCCAAAAAATATTTTATGTTTTTAAGACTAAAAAATGTTTTTAAAAAACGTCGACATTAAATATTCACATTAATACCATCTTTTTGAGACATCTTGAAATCCCCTTTGTAAAACATACATACATACACACACTCACACACACACACGCACATTTTTGAACATTAATTCCCATATACAAAGCATTCCATCAATGTTGCAGCAACAAAATTGCCGGAACAGATTACAGAAATGTTTCATTACAACATTACGGAGCATTATATATTTGTAAATAGTAATGCAACGCTGCTACGAACATATAATAAACCTCCTTGTAACTTAAAATGATTTTTAGACATCTTAATATTTTCTGTAAATAATAACTTCCTTAAGACTATTTTCAAGAAAACAAATTAATGAGCTAAAAAATCAAATCGGACGTGACTGTCTAGATTCTAGATAAAACGCGAAAAAATGTTGACCTACAACAACCAATTCGATATCTGTCTTCTTTTCTTTTTTATTATGTTAGTTAATTAAGAAAATAGTGGTAGATTACTAGAAAAACGTGAAGAAGAGTAGTGAGTGTGCGAGATCGAGCCGCAAATTGTTTTTCACGGATTTAAATGCAGAAAGAATAAAAAGAAAAACGTTCGTAGCCTACGAGCAAAAAATAAGGACAATCAAGGGAGAGCAAAGAGACGACGTTATCTTGTTATTAAGAAAAAAAAATGAACTGTGTACCTTGACTTTATTGCACTCTAGACCCATAACGACAGTTTCGCAATGACCAAGTCCACACGCGGCTTTTACCATTTTTGTCTCGAGGAAATGATTTTCTAATTGGAAAGATACGTATATCACGTATACCTTTTTGACATAACTTTTAATACTATGTATATAAGAAATAAATAATCAAAAAATAATAAGAAAGAACTGAATTTGAGAATTCTATTGTTTAGTCTTTCTAGTTTGTCTACTGTTAACTCTCGTTTTAATTGTAAAAAGCTAAATAAGCCTCCATACGACTGGGGTGATTATAAGCGAATTTGCTAAAGGATAAAAACCGCCGTAGACTTACGACAATCGTCGTCAAATGAAGCTCCATGAGATTTACTCACTTTCTATATATGGCTTTCGTTCTCTCCTTAAAAAATTCTCATTGTGAAAGGCATGTATAACGTTACGGTCGCGCATCAGCGCATCGATGATATTAGACTCGCTGATTTTCGTAACAATCATTAAGCCCCTTGCACAATAGGCGATAGCGATAGCGATAAAGTTGCCGACAAAGCTATACCTTGTCGCTGTCGCTATCGCTATCGCCTATTGTGCAAGGGGCTTTAGTAATAAAGAACTAGATAATAAAGATCCCTGAATATAATAATGGTAATAATAATATTAATTGTATATCAATGTATTAATAATAATGATCGTAATAATGCGATTGTAAAAATATTATTAATAATTATATATATTAGCAATAATATATTTTTCTGCTCTTTTTCTTGTGTGGCACAGGTAAATAACATAACGCGACCATTCTAACAACCGGGTAAACACTTCTATCGCCAACGAAAGCATGATAATATGGCAATAGCCTAGAGCCAATAATCTTTAAAATATATTTCCAATACAAAATCCAAAATTTTTGCGTAGAAGCAGCGTGTCTCCAATTTAAGGAACGATTCAGCCATTCTACCCGCTATCTTTCTTCGCGCCTTTTCGCACCCATTTTAACTTGATCTCGTTTATATTGTACAAAGATGTATTCTAGAATAATATACAAAGACGTATCTCTACATCGCTATAACTATGGATGTTCAATACAGCTATCACAAATATATGTCGATTAATAGTATTCGATTTCTCTCTTCACATTTAAGCTATTATAATTACAAGTGCTAATGCAAAAGAGGCAATATATATGTATGGGTGTGTGTGTGTACACATATATGTCGCGTTGAGAATGCACAGAAGGTGATTCCAAATGCTTCTCAGGATACACGGTGAATAAAACAAAAAAAAATAAAAAATAAACAACGATTAAGAGAAAAAAGAATAGACAAAATGCCGTTCGATAACAGTAATTTTGATTGCTGATTCTTAACCAACATCATGACTACGACGTTAAACACCCACAGTTATTACATTTTATCTAATTACTAATATATTCAGTGTTGCGATCATGACGATCAAACGGAAACACTTCATTTGGTAATAAAGCCATCGATTGGCTTTCACGTATACCTATCCTAAAATGAGTACTTTGAAAGTCTCCTCGCATCTCGTACTGTTATGTTCCAACATAAAAGTTACATTTTTCCTTCTTCTTTCTTTCCTTCTTTCCTTTTTCGATCTATCTATCTTTCTTTCTTTCTTTCTTTCTTTCTGTACCTGTAAATGGGGTACTCGAAAAGGAAAGTTTGGATACTTTATCTCAAACGAAGACTACACATGTTTGCCATTTATAATGATTTGTGAACTCCAACAATCGCCGGAGACACTGTCCGAACTTCCACTTTCAACGTCCTTTTCGCACGCAAAAAGAAAGAAAAAAAAAGAGAATAAAAACTCACGAGTTTATTAGAAAATAAAAAAAGGATCGTAGGAGGACCGACAAACTTGGTTTCTCCGCACTATCACTCACTGGTGTCTTCGACAACGTAATGGCACATCGAAAAAACGTGCCCGAAATAATGATGTACAATATATAATCACGTTGGTGGCGAATATCGTCAGCTTACAATAAACGGCAATGAATCTGGCGACGAATGGTCGAGTTATCAAATTTGCGACGACCAAGCGTATCTCATCGATAACAAACGTTCTCCAGCATCTCTTCGAAGAGCTTGTTCATCGGTACCTTGCCCGTTTTATATACACTGGACCAAAAACGTCTGACGATCCCATCGGCCTGTCTGAGACTGGGCAGCACTAGTAGCATGTTTTGCGTGACGCGGAGGGCTTGACCCGGTCTCACTGCCGCTACACAGTCCGACAAAGAATTCAAGATCGAATCTCGGAAACGGGAGAGCGCCATAGGCTCGTCGGATCTAGCATCACTGTTCGCTAGGATCAAGGCTTTCAACACGTAGTATTCCTCCCGCGTTAAACCCAATCGTTGGATCCTCTCGACAATTTGTATACACTGTTCAAAGAAATAATACTATATTCAGAAGAGCTGCACACTGGCGAATCGTAAATACAGAAATACAATAAAGCAATTTATGACGTTCTCTACTTTGTAATTGGAAAAAAAAATTATTTCCGAGCGGTTTTAAATTTATATTTGTATAAAAGATGGAGAGATGAGAGATATGGCTTTGGTTAACTCTGCAACGTGAAATTTTTCTTTATTATCTGAAATGTAACTTTTCTTTATTATCTTAAATTATTCTGAATATTATATAAATCTAATATAATAAACATTAATTTTTCTGTTTAATTTTCTATTTTTCTATTTAAGGATATCTAAAAAGATTAATAATAGTACTAAAATATATAATTATAGGTGAACTTTTTTAGGCAATTACTTACGTGTGTATAAAGCTCCGTACAATGACACTCGCGCGCAAGTCTTTCGTCCAATGTAAAATCTTGCGCAAACCTCAATCTGCCGGTGTTAGGCGTACTTCTCCACGCCAGGGTGAAAGTTAATATCTCGGCCCAAGTACTCTGCAAAAGCCGCATTTGATCATTCAGCGCTAAGTTGCTGAACCCCGGGATCTGCTTGGCCCAACCTGCAGGGAAATAAATTAAGTGTTCGCCGAACAAAGAAAAATTTCAAGCGTAACTAATTATTAGCGTACAGTCACGCGCGGCCGATAATTACCGATTATACCGACTAATTCTCGATCGTACAGATCCGACAATTGTCCGAGAACTCTCTGATCCGTCTCCTGTGTACTCGAGTTGTTAGACACTTGAAGCATGTCTGGTTCGCAAGCCGCCAAAGCTTCGACCATCTTGTTGTCTGCAAAAGACGAGACACGGTGTGCCTCTTTATTTAAATTGCCCTAAGGCAAGGCGCTAAAATGCCACTAAATTAGTAAACGCTAATAATGAAAATTTAACGCTATAAATGAAAATTTGCAAGAGACAATATTAAAGAAACAATGAGAGGTGATAAATTATAGGACCAAAATAAAACTAAAAGATAAATAAAGTAAACCACATATTATACAGAAATACATGGTGATGATTCAATAGCTTACTTATCGTTTCGGTAGAAGCTGCCGACGCTACGTTAGCTTGAAACATTGAATAATGGAAAATAAAGTTAACGATGTAAATGGTCGTTCAAAAGAGAGAATCTTTATCTCTTTACAGATATCTCTTTCTCTCATTATATAATAGAATCGATATGAAATACGAGCAGGATGGAAAGTTATATTAGCGTAAGGCAAATACCCTCCAGCGTGGCATTCTTGACCGGCGTATAAGGGTCCGTGGATCTTCTGTACTTTTGTCGACCTCCTCGAACACGATCCAATCTCACGCCTTCCTTCAGCATTCCTTGCCGCAAACATTTCTGAAATCTACACGCCTGGCAGGCCTTACGTCTTCGTTTGTTTATCTCGCACTCGCCGTTCGCCGGACAAGTGTACTCGATGTTTCCTGTAAAATTACTGGCTTTATTTTATCGTAATATACGCGGTCTCCTGTCCCAGATAGCACCTAGTTCTCAAACCTATGATTAGAAAAGGCCACACGCGTCCAAATATACCGTCTGAAACATACCGTGTGCACGTATGTACGTACGTACATATGCAAATACTATGCGCGATCGAAAATGCGCATTAACGTAGTCCTTGGTGCTATCTGGACGAATTATTGCGGCCCGTTACGGAAATCGATAAGCCCGCTTACCTTGTATAGTTCTCTTGAAGAAAGCCTTGCATGCCTCGCACGAGGCGACTCCGTAATGGAAACCGCTCGCAACATCACCGCAGACAAGACAAAGCCTCCTGGGTATCATATCTTCTTCCTTAACGCCATCCTGAAACGCCAACAATTCTTCACAGTAGTTGAAATATAAATCATCCTTAATATAAACTCTTTGCCTATGGAGAAATGTTATCGGGACGGAATCACGCACCTCCGGAGTTCCCAACGGCTGCGTCGTCGAGGAACAATGATGCATCTCTGGGCTCTCGGGACTACCGTTGCTACCGCCGTAGTCCGTCGCTATGTCTAATTTCGTGCATATCGACTAAAAGTAATATGATGGAAGTAATAATTAATACAATACAATGTAAAGAAATATGATGGAAGAAAATGTATAACATGGAAAAAATATGCCAAGAAATGTACGAAGCAAAGAAACCCCTTGAAACATTTTGCAACGTTCCTTTTACGAGAAAAAAAAACGAGTATTGGCCACGAAGATACTGCAGTTAATATTAGCGCGCGATAATGGCGGGATGCCTATGTTCGTAACGACGCGACGAGTCGACAAGTTCCCTGAACAATACCTCCTGATGCTGAAGAGTCGTGGTTGGTGAACACACTTGATAATTTTGCGTGGGCGTTGTTGGGTTATCGATTTCCTGCTTGATATTGGGCATCGTCCTGCTATTCCCGATCATGCTTTCCGTGGTAGCATCAGACATCATACAAACCTGTCAAGATACGAGAAGAAGAAACGTACATTTAGGGATTCAGGTAATGTACACCGAGGTAACGCATCGCGCGGGGATCGCGGATAACCGTATTTTAATTGCCATTGTCACGACGATCGTAGAGAAACAGCGCGCGGCGCGGCGCGGCGCGGCGCGGCGAATCCTTAGCGAGAGATCACCCGTCGTCGTCTTTTCTCTGCAGTCGGGGCTGCACTCTTTTTTGCGCCTGCTATATATAAGCATGGCCAACGCCTCGAGCATTTTTAGAATTGACTTGAAAGAATTCGCAGCACCGCCATCGCGCCACCTAATAGTCCCAGCGATCGCGCTCTCCTCTCCACCGCGGGCCACTCTCGCTCCTACTCGGGCACACGCACAAATCGGATTCGTCGAGAAATGCAAAAACCGCGTATGAAAACCACTACGAACTCATTATGAACCGCATGTAAACACTATGCTACACGAGTACGGGACGTACGGGATACGATTACCCGAGCCATACACGGTTGCTGACTTGACGGTAATTCTACTCGTTGTTTAAGCTTTGAGACGTCGATGAAACTTGGATACAAAACATAAATTGATTTCCGTCCTCATCTGTAATGTTTAAGGCTGCAAATGTTTAAGGGTACCCCGTCCAATTTCTGTGTACCTCAAGTGTTTTAAATCCAAAACAGAATCCGGAAATAAGAAATAAGTCCAAAGTATTTCTGACAAAAAATATTTGTCAATCTGTTATGAACGCGTGTGAACCCAATCGTGACTGAGCAGAAATATTAATGCATGTGATTAGACATTACGTGAATTATTAAAAATTGTGACCAAGTATTTACTCTGTGAATGTGAGACGGATAACAGCGTGTAGAAATTGATAACTGATAAGGGAATTCCTAGTTCTCACAATCAGTATGGACTATATGGAGCATTTAGGGAAAAAGTGTTATGTTAAAAGAATTTGTCAAGAAATTAATTTCTCCCAGGCAGATCGAGTTAAAGGATATAGGTATGTGTAGAAAAATATCTCATGACCTAACAGTTGACGTAATAAAATGATGACGCTATTCGACGGCGCTGGATACAAGATGACTGCGCCCTAGATTAGGACGTTGATGAACAAAGTAACGGTGAAAGGATTGCGTAAGTCCCCTTTCTCCCCGTCCTCCCTCCCACTCCCATCCTGTCCGGTATCATGTGTCGTGTGCCAGCAGAAAGTGAGACACGAGACGCGAGACGCGAGACTCGCAGACGGAAGGGAGGACGGGCAGGAGGCGCAGCATCTAGTCGACCTTGAACTTGATTTTTTTCCAGATGCGAACTCGCACGCTTTCATTCGACAAACCCTGTACGACGCGACGTCGGATTCGCATTCGAATCTGTGTCCCCCGACTCATGGAACTTAACCGGAGCCTCTTACCCGAGGCGTTTTGCGTGACTCGCGTTCCCGTCGATTTAATTGTGAATTTCGACTGAATCGACTGATCGCCGAAGCGAACCTTGGAAACGAGACGGAATTAGTGGAATTACGGTCTGCATCAGAGAACGCGATGTCCGAACTGAACGGTGTGACGTGCTTGATACCACACGTCCGTTTTGTACTTTTTCCCTCTTGTACGAACAGCTTGCTCCCCCTCGATCGTAACATCAATACACCGAGATACAAGACCGATGGCGATCATCTCGGAGTCTCGGAGCCAGTTCCCTTCTGCACGGCCGCGGCGCGTCGCGTCGCGGACATAAATCGAAAGAGAGTCGGCAGAGACTATTAAAGCAAGCTTATTTAGCGCGAAACGTCACGTCACCGCATCGGTGCAACCGGTCCTACGTTTGTTCCATTATATTCTAGCTCTAGCGGGACAGGTTGCATACATACACACACACGCACAGACAGGGGAAAGGGTTGCATAAGTGTTCTCCTCCCTCCGCGTTCGAGCCACGTTCGATTGAGAGCTCGAAAGGCGGACATGAGGGAGAAGCGAGAGACAAGAGGGGGAGAGAGAGAGAGAGAGATGTGCCTCGCCGGCCTTGAACTTGACTTTTCTGCGAGAGAGCGAGAAGCTGCCGCCGCGCCGCGTTCGCGAAGGCCGCGGAGCCACGCCATCGCAATTTTAGACGCCGAGCGCTGGCGGAAACGGCCGACAACAACGGCCTTGGGCCTCTCAATCTCGTTTTATCTCGTTTTATCTCCTCCTCTGTCCTACCTTCCTGCCTATACATCCGTGATTCCCCGTTCCGCTACGCGCCGACGCGACGCGACGCGACGCGACGCGATATGATCCCGACGCTATTACCGAACTTAGCACCCCACTTTCAGAATATTAATATAATTGAAGAGATTCTCTTTCTCTTGTTCTTCCTCAAAAGAGAAAAGTGACCGTCTGGATTAGATACTCGTAAAAAAGTCAATTAAATGTAAAAAAAAGAATTAGGGCCTATAATTAAAGCCCTCCGAAGTTACGGGGCGTTAATTTCACCCTAATCTGCATCCTCCTGAAAAATATAGTGTCTGAGAGAGTAAGAGATTCTCAACTCGATCTTGATTGAAAATAGAACAAAATTATCATTGATTTTCGTATGACGAAAACTTTGAGTTGACACTCAATATCCTTGGATTTTTCACCCTTAATCGTACGAGACTCGAACTCTAGAACTCTACGAACTACATCGAAATTCTGAGAATGAAATGATAACACGTGCGAAAATACATAGACAAGATGCGATGCAACCAAAATGAACAGAAATCTCAGTTAACTAGTTTAACAATTTCGCGAGCGAGGACGGGAAAGCGTTAGCCTCAATTAATTTCAATACAACCACGGTCGATCGAAAAGTGAAGATTAATTGCGAAATGCGAGCTGAGCGTGTGCGCGATCGCGCGCGCACAATAAAATAAAAGATTTTCATCAAGTCCCCCCCGCTCGAAATTGCATTGCGACGCCAGAGCCCAGGGTTAAAAGACTCTCTTATGTATACATATAATGATAGAGATATAAAAATCCATTTCTCGCGCTATTGAAATGACTCATTGTCAGTTTCTTCGCTTGTTGACTATAATGAGCAATTAATTTTCCAAATTCTTAACAAGAAAAAGGGAGAAACTATAGACATTCTCGTTGATTTTTGAAAGGGTCTGAAGCTCTTGCAGTCCAACGGTTTCTTCAACTTTACGCTCTCATCTCGCTCTCGATCGCCCGCGCCAGTGAGAGAGATGATTGATAACGTGCACCGTGATATTATGATATAGAAGCGAATCGGATCGCCCGCGCCCGGTTGCCCGGTAGGTATAACGATCGGATGGAATAAACGCGCGCGCGCGCGCGCGCGGTATCGCCCACGCTGCACAAATTAAGATACGCCGCGATTAACATCGGTCAATAAACAACTCCCTATCTGTTGCCAGTTGCCAGTTGCCAGGTGCGATATCGGCCGATAGTGCACACGTCGCATAACAGTCGCATAATGTCCAACTCCGCGTCGTGCGTCGTGCACGCCTGATTCGGCGCAGGCGTTTGCGCGGAATTGCAGACGCGGAATGATCGCGTCTGACATAACAGCGGACGATTTTCAGGAACAACGAAAAGCTCCCTGTGGTTACGCTACAACGAGCGTGATAACGGTAAACAATTTTCAGGAATAAGGAGAAGCTTTCGTACTGGAAGGCTCTTATCTGTTATTAGATCTCTCCCGTTTTCGCGAAAGCGGCTGCACGCAAAGTCTAAATGCGTCAGCCTCTCTTTTTAAATAATTTTTTTTTTTTTTAGAAAGAAAAAATAATCCTGGAAAGAACTCGCAGCTTCCCTGCAACGATCGGATAATTGATGTATATTTTTACACGCTTTTGCCGTAGCATAGAAATCCACGAACATGTCGATATATTCCGCAACGGTTGCAACAAGTCGACGGACGTTATCTGTGAATTATTATAATTGTCCGCTTGCGCGCGCGGTCAGAATATCGGCAGTATATGTACGTGGGTGGTTACGGAATTAGAATGCGAAAAGAGCGGATCGATTCCTCGAGGATGAAGACCCTGGGTCGCGGTCAAGGCCGGAGCCTTGGCGGAAACTACGCTCCGATTTCGCATCGATCTTATCCAATAAAAATAGCGCGATAACGCGGCCGTGTAATAACGCGGTATTAAAACAGCAACGAGAATAACTCCGAGCCGGCCCGTTGAGTATATTCGACGTGGATATCGGCTTCCGTCGTCGTTGAATATTGAATCATTCAAGCTTTCAGATCCTTGGACATCTTTATAGGAGAATTTATCACGGGGGGTTCGCTGTCTCTCATTTTCTAAATTGTAGCTTTACTTACGACCTTTATATTCGTAAAGGAAAAAGATAACCAAGTACGGTAAGTTAAACTTTTCGTTAAACTTGACCCATACAACTCCCTGTTATGTCATAACAAGATCAAAATTGTAATTTTATTTACCATATATGTATATTGTATATTGTATGTATGTATATATACATAGAGACAGAAAACGAGCAGATATACCGTAAGTCTTGTAAAGTTTGGGTCCATTTAACTTGACGTATTATTCGCCTTCATTTTACAGTTGTTAATTATTAAAGACTTTTATTATTGATTGCACCGAAGCTTTTTTCATATGCCGTGGGATCTGAACTCTAAACAGAGACCTCGGAGAACTTATCGACAAAAGATGATGAAATCAATGGGAAGGGAGGAGGGAGGAGGTTCACGTAAAGGCGAATCTGCGGTGAACGGATCAGTCAGAACGGGAGATAGATCTTGCCGATCAACGAGCGGCGATATGCGGTATGCGGTATGCGGTATGCGGCCCGTACCCCGTACGGCTCGATGCCGAGTCATATCGCTAGTAGGGAGAGATAATAATCCCTCTCCAGAGCAAGATGTTCGAAGGCGAGTCAAGTTTAAGGCCGCGAGACATCGATGACGTCACCTCGGAGTAAAAGAGAAAGAAAGACGTGTAAATCCTAACCTTGGACAATGCGCGAAATAATCGGTAGACAGGT